AGGATTAAGGTCTGCAAAGTCGCCAAGAAATCTAGGATTAAGGTCGATTTTGACCTTAATCCTGTCAGGGATTGAGGATAGGCTTTTTAGTATATAAGCTTTTAAGCTTATTTTCTAATTAAGCTTAGTTTACTTATATAATCTAATATTATAATTAGATAAAGCTAATCTTGCTAAGTTAAATAATACTTAAATTATCTTAATAGCTTAAGTATTAAGCTAGTTATTAGTTACTAAAGTATTATAGTTAATTAGTTATTTTTAAATTATTTAATAATATTCTATAGTAATTTAAAATTTTTAATCTATAATAGTATATTTTTAAGCAAGTATTTCTAAATAAGAATTATATATACTTAATTTATAATCCTATACTAGAAGATTTTAATTAGCAATTCTATAGTATTAAGTAGAATATTCTAGAATAGCAAGACTTATATATATAAAAACCTCTTTTCTTTTTATTAGTTAGCTCTCTAATAGACCTATAATATAATATCTTTTACCTACGATTATAACTTTTTAGCTATTACTTATTATTTATCTTACTTTTTTATACTATAATTAAGCTATACTATTTATAGTTAGTTTAATTATAAGTCCTTTAATAAACATAGTCTTAAGAGGAAAACTTTAGCTTTTTCTCTACTGTTCTTTATACTTTTAATTAAAAAAAGTAAAGTATTTTAAGTAAGCTAGTAAATAAGTAGAAGTTAAGTTAAAGTTAAGTTAAAATAACTTTAGAGTAGAGTTAAAGTTAGGTTAAAGTTATTCTAAGTATAGGTTAAAGTTAGGTTAAGGTTAATTATAATAAATTACTATAATAAAGCTTAGACTAACTTTAACTTAACTACTACCTATGCTTAGACTAACTCTAACCTAACCTCTACCTATTTACTAGCCTAATTTTAGGTTAAGTGCTTACACTGTGTAGCTAAAACAATATAGCGCACGCGCTAGGAGCTTAGCGCTAAGCCCCTAGCGTGTTAGCGCTAATACAGCCTAGGCAGCGCCTGCACCCTAGGGCCAATACAAACCAAGCAACGCCAGCGCCCTAGGGCCAACACAGGCTAACAATGTCAACCTTACAGCATTACAACAGGTTTTGCGCGCGACTCTGTACCCCTACAATATAGAGCTAATACAGCATAGGGGAGGGAGAAGGGGGGTATGTAAAGGGCTAGGGAGAGCCTAGCCCTAGCTTAGTCAGGATGCCCCCAACTATAAGAAGCAAGGTCGCACAATAGATATTAGACAGATCTTTTATTAACATTCTATTGACACTTCTATTGCCTTGCCTCTAAGAAGCCAAGTCCATAACATCTATTCCTTACGAGACCTAGAAGAATTTTCAATACAAGCTAAGTGCTGAGATAATCAACGCACTATCATTTCTATTAAGCCTATTCTTGCTTGTATATTTCTTGCCAACTCAGAGACCATGTCGGCGCATATAGCATGGTGGGGCGATTTAACTATAAAAGCCTGTTGGATGATCTGGTGCAGTCTGCCTATTACGCGTTGCATTTCATTCAAGCGCTTCAGCGCAAGTACTCTCAGCAGAGCACGCCGATCAGTGTCCTTTACGGAGTAAGATCCGAACCTCAAATTAAATTCGTCCCTTGCCACGGCATTGCCTATTGGAAGCCGATCCGAGGAAACTTCTCCCCAAAGTGTACCCATCCCGAAGGAGATGGATATCTCGTCTATGCCATAGCATATAATTAATGCCGATGAATATCTTGGCCCACAACGCGTGCAGCACAGGACGCTAAGGCAATAATCGAGCAGGGCTTTTGACTTCTGCACAGCCATTGTGTTGGGGGAAGTTTCTCTGAGGTGTCGGTCTTTCTGCATGCTATTCGCAGGGGCAGACAAATCGGCGAGCTGTTGGAGCAGAGTAGTAGAACAGAAACATGCCTCGGACATGGATATACGGTCGACTAGGCAATCCTCGTTCGCATTCGATATTGAAACGTCCATGTTGGTTGGCGAGCTATCACTGCCTTCGCTGAGGTTATCGAAGCTCAACTTATACTGTTCATTCGGTTCTCCAATGTGCTGTAGCGGCCCGAAAATGGAATCAAATGCCCACGCTGAGCTATCCTCTTGTGGAATACTAGTCGTAAATTCCGCCAGAGACGTCTGAGGAAATGAAATCATGTCGAAGCCGAGGTTTGTTCCTGCAACTGGCTCAAGATGTTGTTGTTCTGAAATGGTGCCTTTGTGTACAGCTTCGACATGTTGCCCAGTGTCGGAGGGTATCAAGGGAGCGCTGGCCAAGGAAACGGGGGTCGCCGATGTATTGGAAGAAGCAGTAGCGATCGATGTGGGTATACGTGGTAGTGCTGGTATGATTTCGGGATCCGTTGTTGAGCCAGTTATGAAGCTCGTGGATGAGTCCGCCCTGCGCGGCCGTGGGCGTCCAGCTCGACGTGATACGCTGTACACGCAATCGATCTTATGTTTTGCACATCGCTTGCAGGTGGGGCGTTCCTTTCCGCAGCGAACTTTGGAGGCTTGACATGAATCACAAGACTGATGAACCGACGGCGCTTTCGTCGTCTGGCCTTTTCGTTCGTTCATGACGGGTTTTGTATATATGTATAGCGCGATGATAATAAACTGCACAAGTGGCTAATTTCATTCAACATGTAAATGCTCAAATAAAAGATGGGCCAGAACCTGTATTTCCAAGGTTCCTCATGAACTATAGTAGACTATGGTGGGTATGTGAAATAATATTCGTCCGAGACCGTGATGCCGGAGTCATTTTCGGTCTTGGCTACTCAACACTTTTAATGCACATGATATAGTATACGCAAAGATGTGAACCGGCAGATCCCGGAGACGACGACCTTGCCTCATCGGCCTATACCAACGCAAAGCGCAGATTACCGTTGTACAATACTCCGTAAGACCTAGCGGCTGCGGGAAGGAGCTAACGGCCCGTGCATGGGGGTACGGAGAAACTGTAAACGTAATGCAGCAGGGTGCCCTGAACAGCTTGGTATGTCCGTGGATTTCTCTTATCCAGTACAAAGCTTGGACGGGTTGTTAGCGTTAACAGTGGATTTTAGGGTAAGCAAGGTGTGCACACTCTTTGGATGCCAAGGCCGTGCGTGCAGCGCTGGGTTTGAGGTTTGATTTTCATTTGAACTATTTAACGTCGGAAGACGCCTGAAGCCGTCCCCGTAGCGTGAGATGAATTCAACTATTCGGTGGGTGCCAAGTACAAAGGGGCGGCCAAATTTGCTGTAAACTCCGCCTTGTGAGTAAAAACAGTGAAGTGATCCAAGGGGCGGCCATATGGCTCACTAGGTGCAATGCTTCGTGTAGAAGCTAGTGAGTTCAAGCAGCAATTTAAAGTTGAGGGGACTGAAGTAGCAGGTTGAGATATTTAAGTCCCTCCTTCGTGGTGGTTGGGGGCATACGGGGCGCTGAGGCCATCGCGGGAACGATTTGTGGGAAAGCTAGCACAGCACGACATGCTTAGGAGTCTTCAGACGACCACATGTGCACCGAGTTTCAGCCTCAGCATGTTGGAAGCGGCGATGGTACCACTTAAAGTCCCCGTGTCGGGATCTGATTGACAGCAGACGAGCTAGGACTAGGCATGGCAAACTCAGTCCATGCGGGCAGAGGTTTGGTGAGTAGGGGAGAGATTTCCCGTCCCGATCCTTCCAATCCTGGTACCGTTTGCTAGTTTAAGGTGCCTGTTAAAAACCTGTTATGATCCTAGATCTTGACTAAGTAATCGTGATGGGTCGGAGACCTTTTGATTGGCTCAGTGAAGTTTGGAGACTAGGAGTTAGGGTTGGTTCTCGGGGAAGAATGTCAGGGTGATCGAAAGAAGAGCAGAAGTAGATAGCAATCTTGGAGTATGAATACTGAATCAATTGCTAAGCTGGTAAACAAGATTGACAAGTTGAACACGACCTGACATAAGGGCGGTCGTGCAAGGCTATATACTAAGGATGTAGGATGCCATCCGGGATGGTTACTCTTGGCGGGATGGTATGTCACGTGACCCTCACATGATATTGGTTACGTGAGTGTTGCCCCGCGGCGAACCCGCTGGCTGTAATATGTTTGGATCGTAACACTATCCTTGTAATCCTGGGCCTAATAGAACCTTGCACGCTTTAGAGAATTAGCATAAGGATGGATAGATTAGAAGGGCGTTATGTCGCGATTACAGAGCCTAATTATTAATTAATTTGTGTGGAGTTACAGTGGTTCGAAGTTACAGTGGTTCGAAGTTAGGGTGCTATCTGAAGGCTAGGGTGCTAGCGCTAGCGCTGCTACAAGGGGGTCTCATGTACAGGTTGCCCCCCCCTGTTGATTCATAGCGCCTTGGCTACCACTTAGTGTGGCCACTATTTGCGTTAATTACTGCCTGGCAACGCTCTCTTATGCTAGATACATAGCGTTGGAAGTCTTGTACAGTAATCTTGTCCTACTCTTCTCTTACGTACTGCTCTGCTTCTGCTGCTGTCTTTAGAAACCTCTTGCTAACGCAGTACTTTAGCAGCCTCTAGACGTTCTTAATAGGGTTAAGGTCTAGCGAGTTAGCTAGCTACTTTATCTTTAGTATTCTAAGCTCCTGATGCAGTGCCTGAGTAGCGTGCGCTCTGTAGATTAATGCCCTATCCTCTATTAGTACTAGCACTAGCACAGACTTCTTAAAGTTGTAAATTACAGGCACAATTGTCTCTCTATACTGCTGTCTATTAATCCCTCCCTTCTTAAAGACAATAAAAGGGCTCTTAAGAGAGCTTGTAATATAGCCCTAGATTATGCAGGCAGAGTACTCTTAAAATTTAGATATACAGCATGCAGGCAAGTCCTTTTCTTCTGCCTTTCTTGTAACGTATATGTTGCTGTTATACCTGCAGATAATTAAGCATTTATTTGTCTAGATAACCCTTAACTACTGCTAATTATTCTACCTACAGTGTATCTACGCCTATTTAAGCCTATCTTGTATATGTTTCTCTGTAAGAGGCTTCTCTGTTACAATGTATTAAAAGTATAGCTCTTTCTTAAAGGCTCTCTGTAGCATACACTTGCAGGCCTGTATCCCTTTAAGCTTTGCTATCTTAAGGTAGCAGAGCTTTCTATAATAGCTATCAATAGTTGCTTGTGTAATAAGACGCTTGCAAAGTAGTGTATTAAGGATAGGAGGCCTACCCTAAAGCCTCTTTAGTATATTAGGCACTGCAATTATGCAGCAGACTATCATATATAGGATTAAGAGAGTAGAAGAGATCTAGGTATAAGACTAGCTAGCATAGTTACACAGGGTCTAGATCTTAATCCTCTAGTAATAAGATAGTTATTGCTAAGATCTCTTAGCCTAAGATAGGGCATTACAGGTATAAATTTAGTGTAAAGAAAGCATAGTAATAATAGAATTATATTACTAAGAGATAGCTATAATTACAGAACTTAGGAGGTAAAACTAGCTAAGGCGCTATATTAATAAAGAAAAAGGAAAGAAGAGAAGAGCAACCTAGATATAAGTATAGAGGTATTAGAAGTATAAGCTCTATAACTATAAAGCTAAGCTATATACTTAAGAAAACTATAGCAGTACAGGTAGAAACAAGATTAATTAATAACTAGCTAGCTAAGAGATTAGGCTATCTTATATACTAGTAGTAGAACAGGTTTAGAATAGAGTTAAAGTAGAGTTAAAGATAGGTTAGAGATAAAGCTATATAGCTAGGTAGTAATAGCTAATAATAGTATATAAAAGCTATATATATATAACAGGTCTAGCCTGTTACAGTAAGCAGTAGTAAGTAAGCCTTATATAGGAGGATACTTATTAGGTATTAATACTTAACTAGAGACTACTTACTATTATTCTTAAACTTATACTAGTATAGCTTATTAAACAACAGCAGCTACTAACTCTCCTAGTAATAATAAAATAACTAGTAACTAGTAACTAGTAACTAATAATTAGTAATTGGTATAAGTTATACTTATAAACTCTTATATATATACCTTATAGTTAAANAATTATATTTATAAATAGCTAATTCTCTTATCTATATATCTAGCTATCTACTTATACTTATTAAAAGTATAGTAGTATAANACTACTACTAGCTATAGGCTAGTAGTTAAGNAAATAANTCTAGACTCTATATAATTATNTAACTATAGTAATATAAAGANATATATTAGNTAGTAATACTAGCTAANCTATCTATATAATCTAAATNTACTATATAAGTAGCTAGATATAGTACTGCCTTAGTGTTTATAACTACCTTAATAGTATCTACCCTAGCATAACAGTGCCTTCTTTCTCTTCGAAAGAAGCTAGGATATAGATACTAGGTAACTAGATATCTAGTGGTTAGGTAAACTATAATAATAGCAGAGGTTCTTCTTCTACTTATGTACTTAATAGTTATTACTTTTAGTATTACTACTCTTACTAGAGTATAAGGACTAGGTAGAACTAGGTTAGGTATAAGTAGAACTAGTTAGAATATAGGTAGAACTAGTATAGATTATATTAAGGTCTATACTATCTAGAGTTAGTAAATAATAGGCAGGTTAGGAAGCTAGTAGAACTAGTTAGGACAGGTCTAGTTTTAAGTAGTATATTTGCTAGTTATAAGTCTATATAAGTTTAATATATTTATTATATAAAAAAAAAAGTATTACTAGATTTTTCTATAAAAAAGTAGAGAGACTAGTAGAGCCTATAGTAAAGTACTATTATGCTAGAGTAGATACTATTAAGGTAGTTACAAATACTAAGGCAGTGCTATATCTAGCTACTTATATAGTAAATTTAGATTATATAGATAGATTAGCTAGTATTACTAGCTAATATATCTCTTTATATTACTATAGTTATATAATTATATAGAGTCTAGAGTTATTTCCTTAACTACTAGCCTATAGCTAGTAGTAGTTTTATACTACTATACTTTTAATAAGTATAAGTAGATAGCTAGATATATAGATAAGAGAATTAGCTATTTATAAATATAATTTTTTAACTATAAAGTATATATATAACAGTTTATAAGTATAACCCCTACTAATTACTAGTTATTAGTTACTAGTTACTAGTTACTAGTTACTTTATTATTACTAGAAGAGTTAATAGCTACTATTATTTAGTAAGCTATAATAGTATATGTTTAAGAGTATATTTCTTCTTATATATATAAGAAGAATATAAGGAAAGAGATATTAATATAAGAAAAGATAGTAGTAAGTAATCTATAGTTAAGTATTATTACCTAATAGGTGTCCTCCTATATAAGGCCTACTTACTACTGCTTAGTAATATATTCTTTCTTTTACCTGTTCTGTATTTATTATTTTTAGAACTTTAGACTTTACTCTTACTAATCTATATCTCTTCTTCTACTTCTTGTTCTAATATACTAGTCTAGGACCTTGCTGTTTATGCCTTTATTATTGCCTATAAGGCTAATAGAAAGCTAAATAATAATATTACTGCCTTAATAGGGGTAAATAAGCATACTATTAATATAATATATATAAGGGCTCTTAAGAGAGGCTTTAATCCTAATTCAAGGCCTATAAAGATAGAGGATAAGCATATAAAGAATAAGCTACATTCTAGCAGGCCTTTAAAATAAAAAAAAGTATTTAATAAGGTTGTTAATATTGTATAAAAGGACAGATACACCTAAAAGAAAAACTGTGCTAATATAGCTAGGGATCTTAGCTACAAGGGTATTAATATATTAGCCTTAACAGTATAGAGAGTACTTAGGAAGGTAAGGTTTAAAAAGATAAAGCTAACATAGAAGCCTAAGTTAACAGTAAAGATAATAAAAGAGAGAAAGAAGTAGTATAAGGAGTATAAGGACTAGTTAATTAAGGACTAGAAAAATATAATCTAGAGTAATAAGACTGCTATAGTACTAAATTATTAATATAGGGGATACAGGATTTAGTAGAGGGCTGATAAGGCCTTTGTATAGAGCTGTATCTGTAAGAGATAGAAGAGTTACTTAGAGTTTATATTCTAGGGCTGCTTTATGTATAATAAAAAAGGACCTTATTACTGCTAGGGACCTAAATTAAAGCAAGATAAAGAGAAGGTAGTAAAGATTCTTGCTAAGTTAAACAAAGAGATAGAGCTAAAGATAAGAGAGGTATAGGAGCTCTAGAATAGCATGTAATAGATAAGCCTGTGTACAAAGCCTGGGCTAAGACTGCAGTAGAAGTAGAAGAAAGAGACTAGCAAGCTATTACAAGGCAGTGGCGGTGGGATTGACTGGTTCTAGTACTAGTACTTAATTATGCAACTAAAGTTGATCCCTTTTGCTAAGGAGTGTATGAAAGAGCGGCCTGGCATGCTGATTTAAGAAGACAAAGCCCCTTCTTACAGCTACTATATACAGAGCTATGTATATAGCCTTAAGAAAGTCTAGCAGCTACTCTAGGTACCTAACTTACTAGAACTTAATGCTATTAAGCCTTGCTGGTTCTATATGAAGAGAGAGACTACGAAGAAAGGAGCTCTAAAGAATAGGGCTGATGCTATAAAAGCGTGGGAGAAGTGTTGGCAAGAGATACCTTAAGAGAAGATACAGGCTTGGATTGAGCGTATACCTGAGCACATTAATCAAATAATTAAGTGCGACGGAGGCAACAACTACAAGGAAGGCAGAAACGTTAGGATAGTTGGATAGAGTCGTCTCAATTCACTGTTCTCTCAGCCTCAGCTCAACTCAGAACTCGGCCGATCGGCCTTATTCACCCCTGCTCAGCTACTAGCGTTGACAGGGGGTGGGCAATTAGATTTGAAGCGCACCTCCGTAGGCCTTGTAAGTGTCTGAATATTTATGGTCGGGAGGTGGATGTGGGGTTTCCAGCTGCGCTGTAATAAAGGATTAATCCTAAGATCGTAACACCCGTGCATTAGCACATACCCTAAGGGCCTTCCCGGCCTTATCTATATTCTATGTATCCTTAGCACGTATGCCTAGCTTTGTACAAACCTTCGTAAGGAGCTTAAGAAACGCGCCTATCTGTACTAGAGTTACTCCCTTAGCCTAGGCAGCTAGCTAGTGCTTGCCTACAGGCCTGTTGTCTCTATTTTTCTAGAGGATTTAATTTGCTATTTCTCGTATGTGCGCGTGTAAGGCAGGAAAAGCTTGTGCATCCTATTTAAGTATCTATTGTACAAGGAAGTCCTCTTGCTCTTGAGTTAATCTTTGTTAGTAACGTGTATCACCAGTGTGCGCCCCACCCCAGTGTGCGCCCCACAAAATCCTAGTACCTCACCTTCGTAATAGTATTACGCAACACTACCACTATTTTTATTATTAAGTAGAATAAGATATTATTTAATAGACTCGTCGCTATCCTCT